GTGGGTTGGGTTGGGGGGGAGGGGTGGGGGCAAATGCAGCCAACTAGCCCTTCCATTATAGAGACAGTGGAATCTGCGGGCTATAGAAGGTGTACAATGGTGCCGCAGTGATTGGTGGGCATGGTTTATCCTGATCTTCCAGGACCAGCTTCCATTGCAGAGCTCGACATTCATCCACGTGATATCTCCGAGCCACAAAGGAAATCTCTGTTGAAAGACCTTCTGTGCCAGATGCCGTTATCTCAGGTCAGAAGAGGGAGCTGGTTCCTATAATTATAAAAATATGATGTGTTTGCATAACAAAGGATGACATTCTCCTGGAAAGAATTCAGCTTTCCTTTGGCATCTCTTCATGTATCCTCTAAACCAGTGGTTCTTAACCTGTGTAAACTCAGGACCCACATTTGTCCTTGGTAATTAAGTCACGACTCAAGTTGCACTGCAATGGAATGCGGGGCATTGCAGTACCAGGCATTTGGGTGCGGGCGATTGAACTGTGGGTGGGAGGTTCGTTTGGGGTGTCATTCAAATTAATGGCAAATAAAAGTAATTCACCGGCACACACTTGAAGGGTTTTTAAAGAATTGTTATGTTTAATCAATACCCAATGTCACATACTGTCATACGGTGCTAACGTTTCGGGTCCGCACAGGGATCCTTCAACAGAGCGACAGTGACCCTGTCGCTCTGATGAAGGGTCACTGTCGCTCTGATGAAGGTCACTGTCGCTCTGATGAAGGATCCCTGTCGCTCTGATGAAGGATCCCTGTCGCTCTGATGAAGGTCACTGTCGCTCTGATGAAGGATCCCTGTCGCTCTGATGAAGGATCCCTGTCGCTCTGATGAAGGATCCCTGTCGCTCTGATGAAGGATCCCTGTCGCTCTGATGAAGGATCCCTGTGGATCTGATGAAGGAACTGTCGCTCTGATGAAGGTCACTGTCGCTCTGATGAAGGATCCCTGTCGCTCTGATGAAGGATCCCTGTCGCTCTGATGAAGGATCCCTGTCGCTCTGATGAAGGATCCCTGTCGCTCTGATGAAGGATCCCTGTGCAGACCTGAAACGTTAGCACTGTATGACAGTATGTGACATTGGGTATTGATTAAACATAACAATACTTTAAAAACCCTTCAAGTGCGTGTCAGTGAATTACTTTTATTTACTATTAATGTTTTGCACGGCGCCGTTTCGTGTGGTCACCTGGGCACCACATATACCTTGTGGTTTTGAGACCATGGCAGTGCGAATGGGATTTGGACTTTATTCGAATTAAAGGCAACGCAACACACCTTCCACACCAGAACACGCAGTAGGTGTGATTGCGCGGTACAGTGCATTATTCGCATAGGACTGTATAATTAACGCACTGCACTAGTGTGAACAGACCCTCAAAAACACTGACAGACATACACAACCACAGACACAATCTCACGCACACATACACAACCACAGACACAATCTCACGCACACATACACACTCCAAAATAAATTATAATTTTTTTTTAAGATCCACCCAGTCTCCCTAACATATGAGAACTGGAGTGGATCCTTAGCCTGGTATCAAGTGTTGGCTGCTGTGCTGTGATGGAGCTCCAGCCGTATGTGCATTGTTTGTACAGCTCCCTTGCAAGCCCTATAGAGATGCCGGGAGCCAGAATGTGACGTCACTGCAGTCCAGGCACCTCTACAGGGCACATATGGAGCTGTAAGCAATGCACATATGGATGGAGCTCCCTTGTGGCCATACTTCCAGCCCACCCCACCTCAAGCTGACACGCAGGGCCATATTTTGAATGGCTGCTCGGCACAAGAACTGACGGTGCAGCGCTAGGAAGAGGCTGAGAAGTCTCTCATTTAGAAAGAAGGTATGTCGCGACCCACTGAACTTGGGGTCACGACCCACTTTTGGGTCTAAACCAAGGCTCCAAACTTATGTCCAAACTATTCTACTGTTCTTGCAGCAGGTATAGAGAATGGGTGGAATTTTACTCTGGTCTCCTTCTAGGGGTAGGACTCATGGCCAGGGCCTTGACATTGGTCACATGGTCTTTGCCAAAGGGGTCCAAAGAGGTTCAGTGTGTTGGCCCATCATTGCCTGAAGGTCTTGCTTCTAATCCTCGTCTGTAAAAACCACATGACCAGTGCCTAGTTCAGCAGGATACGGTATGTTGGGCATGGGTTTTGGCTGTAGGAGCACTGAAAATGTTTTGTTGTAAAATTTAGCTGAAATACAATTATTTTCCTTCTGTATATTTTCTTGGTCTTCTCATGGTTAAGGGTCCAAGTCGCAGTTTTGCGCACATCCCAGACTGACGCGTGTCATGCTGCCGGACATGGAAAGCGGGTTCTTAGCCTTTTCTCTCTGTCTCATCTCAGGTATTCTGCAGATGTTGGAGGTGATCCTCAACGCTCTGGTACTGATTTGCCTAATCTCCTCCTATTTCGCCCTTTCTGGGTTCAGCGCTGGCATGGCAAGTGGTGGCTTTGGAGGAGGGTATTACCCATTTGAGGGCCAGGAGCTCCAGGAGGTGCGTAAACTGGACCAGGAATTCTCACTGCTGCGGGGCCCCTTGATGTACGGTGGCCTGGCAGTAACACTTCTGATGGGGACCCTGACCCTTGCCATCCTGGCCGCGGGATCCAAACATCTGCTTCGCCTCTCTGATAGGTGGCTGGTGATCGAGACTGTTTTCAGTTTGCTGGCCTCTCTTGGTTTCGGAGCTGCGGTGGGGGTGTTTCTACACTTTGCCCTCCAGATCAACGCCACGGATGTGTGTAAGAGGCGAGAGAGACTGTACGCCAGGAACGGCCTGACTTGGATGAACTGCAATCTGGCAGGAACGGACGGAGGGGCAGCAACATTTGCCATCTTACTAGTTATAATATATTGTGCCAGTGCTGTGTTAGCCATCCGGGCCTACAGAGAGAAGAAGTATTTACAGCAATAATATTCGAGGCTAATGATTGCCAATCTGACTTGTTCCACAAAGGTGATTTGAACAAATATGGTATCATGACCATTGTACCTATGTATAAGATTTTGTAATGCTATAAAATTGATAGAAGGCACGCAATACTCGAACACGTGGTAGTTCTGACATTTTATAGAGGCGGGCAACCTAATGTAGAATTCAGTAGCCAGTTAGTCCAATCTGGGTGGTAATGAGCACTTTTAGGCCTTTTACAAAGCTTTCAGCCAGCTTTGATTAAGCTTTTAAAGCAACCCTCAACTTTAGTATGAGGATAATAAACACAGATGTGAATGGGAGTGCTGGCTAAGACTTTGCTAGCTGCCTTCAGCAGGCCAAGCCAAAGCCTTTGTTTAAAAGGCCTTATAGGAGACCTGTCATGAAATATGGAGGCTGCTCTTGTTGACCTGTGCCAAGCTGAAAAATCCAACATCCATTCTGCATAGATTATATTTTGAGTCACATTTGCCATCACAAGCATATGGGGAAAGTGTGACCCACCCAATCTGTGCAGAGGAACAATCCCCATATGTTTGTATAAGGGAGAGAGGGACTTATT